TTTTTTTTTTGCGGGAAAGACCAAGTGATATTAATCCAGTACCCTTACAGAACAGTCCTCAAAAGATAAGACAATTACAAACAAGTCCTTAAGGATAAGGAAGACGCCGCCGTCGATGAAGACGTGCCGCTGGCGCGCCGCCGCCGCTCCTCCTCTACAACCTTGGATCGGACGGAGTCCCATGGCGGTCGGGAAGTCAACGGACCTCGAACCCAAAGGGCCTCCACCTTGCATCGTCGCCATCGCCTTCGATCTGGACCTCATCACCTGCATCTTCCAAACTTTCAACAACCGGAGCCGCCGCCTACGGACTCCGGCACGGGAAGAAGGCGCACGGCAACTCCGCCGAGTTACGAGCACCAGGAAGGAGGCGGGGAAGTGGTCGGATTCCGCAGAACCCCGCCACCGGAGAAGATCACCGCCGCCACAAACCACCAACCCGACAGCGCCTTCCTCTCCACGGCGCTGCCGGCGAACCACCCACTCCATCCTAGCTATGTACAGACGGGAACCGAGGTTTCCCCACCCTCCCGCCGCCGAAGCGGCCGGCAGAGGGGGGGAAACCAGCGAGCCGCCGCCGGCGAACTAGATCGAACGGGGAAGGGGAAAAAATCGCCTCTCCTACTGTAGCGGGGGAGAGAGCCGAGCCGAGCCATGCGTGTATCTTGTCCTTTCTTCTTTTTTTCTTTTTTTGTTCAGTTTTTTTTAACTGAGGTATGTTTTGTGTTGTTGATTGATTGGTGATTATGGGAGAATTGAAGCAGCACATGTTTCTGATTTAGAGAAATTTAGAGAAATTTACCTTTAAAGTAAATCCAACGGTTGTGATTTTCTGATTTACATAATTAAAGGCTAGATATTTCTAATTATTATGGAATTCTCTAGCATATTTATCTTTTTTCTAGTTAGCCGGTAACTCAGACGACTTGTCATTCAGACAAAGCCTTTGGATTAGGGAAACATTTCCAGCCGGCAGTCCGGCCGAGTCTTCGGCCAGACGCGCGCGCTTCGTTCGATTGCGCTGTATCCTGCGGCCCCGCGTGCCCCTCGTTTGACTAATTGCCTGAGCCAACCACCAATCGTTTCTTTTTTCTTTCTCCCATTTCCTTTCTTCTTCCTCTTATTCCTTTTTCTTCTCTCTCCTGCGCAGGAGGATGGCGAGGCGCATGTTGCTTGTGACAGATTTTTGGACTCCCCATGCTGCAGCCGCGTCCTTGGAGCTACGACTCGAACGATTTTCATTGCCTCCTCTTCCTCTCGTTGCTGACGGTGCAGCAGTCGCCATGGATGCGCTCATAGACAACTTTTTTTTATGGAGTGTTGCAACCAGCCCCGGGAGATGCTACATCCGGCGGCGAGGGATGTTACAACCGACAAGTTTTTTTGTTGGAACCAACCAAAGGTTCTGTCGCTGATTTTTTTGGCTGGAACCAGTGTCTTGTTTTGCTACTACCGGCGGCTTCATTTGCTACTACCGGCGACAACGTTTTTTTGCGACATAATTCATGAATATGATGCAACCTTGACGACGGGTGACAACATTTTTTTGCTGCAAACTATCAAGTTTTTCGCTACCACCGGCTATAGGGTTTGTTACCACCATACACAGCGGCCGGCCGGCGTTTTTCTTTTGAGTTTTGCTACAACCATGTCATTTTTTGTTGCAGTCGGCAACCACAGAAGCTACATCGGGTTTACAGTTTTGCTACAATGACGATGGCGGGCTGTAGCGGTAAGCTTTTTTGCTGGAAGCGATACTTTTTTGCTACAACAGGTATCGTTTTTTGTTGGAACCAGCAAGAGCCTCGGGAGGGCACACGGCGAGGTACAGCGCGACCACAACGACAGATGCTGCAGCCGGCGGCCGGCGCTACCGGAGATACGGCCATGTCCCGCGGAGCCGGAGATGCAAGCCTGCAACAACGAGTGCATGTTGTTGCATGCATGAAGCCGATGAGAAACGCAGGCGGCGAGGGCGGCGACCGGCGGTGACCGACGGCGAGGGCGGCGACCAGCGGCGAGGGTGGCGACTGGTGGCGGTTCTTCAAGGTTTTGCTACATCGGTCGCCCATGTATAGTGTTGGCGGCGGCGCTGCTTTGTTTTCCCCTCTGCTGTTTGGTTGAATCCATTTAATTGGAAAGAAAACGATTCCAGATCTGACGGTTAAATGCAATCTAATCAAACGGCCGCGCTGTGTCCAGCCGAATTGATTGCGCCGGTGTGCCGGCGCAGATTAGTCGCCTTTGGATTATTACCATGATATATAATAATAAGAGGAAATTTAGGTTCATACTATAGCCAAACAATGTGCCAAATTAAAATTTAAACAGTGGGGATATTTGATCAGTAAATTAAATTTTAAATATGAATTATTAGGCACTAATATTAAGCATTAGAGGAGTATATCAGACATGGTCATGTAATGAGTTTCCGAAGTGTATACATACGTGATGTTCCTTTTTTTTCTATTTTCCAAGTGCATGAACGTACGTGTGTGTATTCTTTTTTTTTTGTAAGATTTGACACATATCTTTCCTTGGACAACACGTTCCTTGTTTTTTTCTAACTTAACAGGTTTCTTGTTTTTTTTAACTTAACATGTTCCTTTTTTCTTTGAAGTCAACTTAACACGTTCCTTGTTTTTGTAAGGAAAAGTCCGACTTCTTCTTGACTATTTTCCCTGGGATACATGCAATCTTTTTAACGTATGTTTTTTTGACGAGGAAACAAAGTGGCCTCCAGATGTATATTTTTTCAACGGGGTGGAGTCAGGGAGCACGTACGTGAGAAAATCTCATCCTTTTCCCGTTTACATGTACTAGCACAAATGCCCGTGCGTTGCAACGGGAGAAACAAACTCTCGCACACCCTAGCGAGCAATCCATGTTGTCACTTCTCCTCTTTGGCATCATTGTCGATGGTGGTCACTTGTGTAACTATTTACGAAAAAGGTTATCAATCCCTATGCGGTGAGCTAGGTCAATACACTCTACCATGCCGATTTCATGAGTCCCTCCCTACACTAACTTGCAATTCTTTGTGCGTAGCAACCGTCACATTCACTTCATGTGGTTCAACACCAATCATGTCTTTACATGTCATGCGGTGCATTTCCTTGTTTACCACACACAATAATAATTTTATTGACCACAGACAATAATAATTATTAGTGTAAATAATGTTAAGGTATGAGGTTATCAACTTGCCGACCGAACATAAGCTGCATACACCTTTTCTTTCTGCTCATATTTGTGAGCAAACTGGACCAACTTCTTGAGGCGGCTTATTAATTTCAGTTCATAGACATATATAAATTGGTCCGACGAGTTATAAGAAAGCGAGTTGGGATAATTCAATAACTGAACTAATTAATTTCTTTGCGTTAGTTAATTGCATGCCATGTCTGGGTAATTCCTTTGCGCAATATTTTTTAGAAAAATCTCCTTCCTTATCTGATCACGCCCCGGTAGTATTTCGTCTTAGGATATTCTCTTTCCTCATCTGATCACGCCACCATGGTATTCCTTTCTTTTTCCGAAACTCTCCTTTTCTTCTTTGTACGCACTGGTATTATAATTCCTTAGGGTCCTTATTATTCTCTCCTTCCTTATTTAAGCCCGCTGATCACGTCACACATTTAAGAACAAAAAAAAAGATCATGTCACACATCCCATCCCATTAAATCTAAGCCACATATGTCAGCCCACCTTTGTTTCGTACTTCTCAAGGCTGCTTACTGATCTTGAATCACAAACAAATATAAATTGGGAGTAGAACATGTAAAGCAGCGAGGTGGTACTATTTAATAAGGGAACAATCCTGGTATTTCACACAATGATGTCCTAGCATGATTGGTTGCGTCCTTTGGTCTTGACATGCAACGTCTGGAGTTCGATTGCTCGTGAAGACGCTTTTTTTTTGTCTGGGCTGGCTCCATGTAATATTTCTGCCTAGGCCGATTTTGTTGTTGTTATGTGCTAGTAGAGTAGGCCCAATAGCTAAAGCTCCGGCCAAGGCCCAGCGAGGCGATCCAGATGCAAAGTTGGATCGAGACTTCTGTAATTACCGTGACGGAACGTACGTGAACGTGAAAATCAACAAAGCGAGCGTACGTGGAAAAAACTTTTAAGCGGGACGAAACCAAGAATATCACCTTCCTTTAATAGTATATATATATATATATATAATATATATATATATATATATATATATATATATAATATATATATATATATATATATATATATATATATATATATATATATATATATAGAGGTATAGATATAGATGTGTTTTTCTTAGTTGGTGCATGTACGTGAGTTCTCTTTTTAAAGAGGCCCACCATTTACCAAATATATTTTCTTTAACATATGTTCATTCAGATGTGTCACGTACAGTCGTTGGAGGCCAAGAGCATTATATATGTTACATAAATCTAACGGTCAAGATAATTCTATTTGTTAAGATGTACCAGATCGAGGGCTAGTAATTTCTAATTAACGTGCAATTTTCTAGCATATTTACCTTGCTCCTGGTTCACCTTATATTACTTTTAATATATAAATAGATGCAACATAAATATGTAGACAAGACCTGTGTTTGTCTTTTATTCCCAAGTTTGAACTAGTATAGTTCGGGTTCTTACATGATAGTGCATGTCACATTATTTTTTCACCGCTACAACGACCAAACCATGGACTGAGAAAACGGTGTTTCATATATCTAGTACTAGAGTTATTTTCTTCTCAGTTAGTACCGAAGATGCCAAATGGCGCGATGGTGCAATATTGAGGGATGTAGACATTGCACATTGCAGGTAGCGTCTGTAGCGCTAGGTTCCTTATTTCCTCGAACTGGGGCAGTTGTTGAGGCTGGACAGAGCCCTGGGCCTGTGGGTTTTGCTGAGATGGCCGGAAGGAGCCCTGGCCTAATGGATATTGTTGCAGAGGCTGTTGGAAGGAGACCTGGCTCGATGGTTGTTGTTGTTGTTTTTGTTGTTGATGCAGAATAATAGCATGAACAACATTGTGGATGGCCTGGCACTGCGACTGCTCAGGGATCTGCCATAGGTGCTGACAACACAATTCTTGCAACAGCTGGTAAGTACTTTGTTGCAAAACTTGTGATCTTCCATGCGCTATGTTGTGTTGCTGCAATACAACATCCATGCATGGAATCAGTTGTTGTTGCAAAATTTGTTGAAGGATTTGTTGTTCTTGTTGTTGTTGTTGTTGTTGTTGTTGTTGTTGTTGTTGTTGCTGCTGCTGCTGCTGCTGTGAAATTGGTTGTTGTGGTTGCGAATACTGTGGTTGCGGTTGTGGATATGGTTGTTGTGGTCGAAATGGTTGTGGCTGCGAATATGGTAGTTGCGGCTGCGGAAATGGTTGCAGTTGCAGATATGGTTGTTGTGATGGAAATGGTTGCGGCTGTGTATATGGTTGTTGTGGTGGAAATGGTTGTTGCTGCCCTAGAAATTGTTGTTGTTGTACCAATGGAACTTGCTCTTGTGGCTGTTGCTGAGATGGATTTTGTGGCTGCAATTGTGGCACTGGAACTCTAACTGCAGTTGTGGCGGTGGTCGCCACGATAGCAAGGAGGGCAAGGATGAGAAAGGTCTTCATGGTGGATTTGTATTGACCACAGCTTGCTTGGCTTAAATGATGCGCTCTACTAATGAGAATGATGGATGAGGAAGGATGATCGTCATGCTATGGGACTATTTATAGCTGCCATGGAATGATCTCTTTCACAATTGGCATTTGTTTGTGTGGAAAGTGCTTGGATGCTTCTAAAAATCATCATTTGGTATGTTCTGTTTGGTGGCACTACTTACAAGTGTATTCTTGGACTGGTCATTAAAGTTCCTTGTTGTTGCACTATCATTCCACCACCAAAAAGGTGTGATAACATGCATGACTCATCTTATTCACTTTACAGCTCAAACACTAATCTAGATTGCCTATTTTTCTGAAACTAAGTTTGTAATTTTCTTCAAATTGTTACGCATAAACTAGATAAGCATGGCTGTCACGGTACTTAGTTTGTAATCTTGTGTGGTCTGTTAAGATAGATAAGACTAGTGATGTAACTTGCTTTAGTAGGCCATGACTCGTCAAATTCCTTTTACATGTCAAGTGTTGTAGTGTTCTAGAAGTTATTAGCAAGCATAAATTTTGTAATGTTCTACAAGTTGTTACGTGTAAACTATATAAGCTTGACTTGCACACAAACAAGATTGTAATCACTAGTCATCTACCCGTGCAACTGCACGGCCTAGCTATTATAGGTGTACATATTTATTAATAAATATTTATATGTAAAATTCAAGCGCTTAAATTACAGATATCATACATCTGAACATATGCTAAGCTATTCAAACAATTGTAGTACAATATAAGCAGATATATTATAAACTTCATTATATGGAAGAGTGCCTCTACTTCCCATTTATATAAAAAAATATGAACATCTACAATACCAAAACTATATAGTATTGAAATACATTACATGACGCATCTGGTAATATTGATTTCATATTGTGAATGTTGATATTTTTTATTATAAAGTTAGTTAAAATTTACAAATCCTGACTTTGACCAAACTTTATATGCAGACTAAAAATAAATGGAGGGAGTATCTTGGGGTCTCTGCCACGTCACGTTTCTCATACATTCAGTACGTGTGTCGCCCCGAACGAGTGGAGGCTGCATCGTCACCTTATCCTTTCCCTGCAGGCTCAAGTCTGCTTCTTCCCAATCTTTCATTTCTAATCAAAGGAGAGTGAGGCGAGCTAGCCGGGCTGCTCTTCGTCGGGGACGTCGTCGTCTACTTGCGTGCGCCAGTGGCCATCTCTCGCCAGGATTCACCCTGTGCCCATGTACAACCGCCTTCTAGAAGCCATCCGAGCGGCGGCCCCGCAACGCTCGCGCGGAGGTCCCAACTTAGGAGGTGGACGAGGCTGTGCAGCTCGCGGCTAAGCTGCTCTTCGCCGGGGTCGTCGTCATCTCCATGCGCCACACGGGAAGGAAGTTGGTCACCGAGTTCCCGGGGATTCACCGCGCACCCAGGTACTCCGCCGCCTCCCCAGTAGCTGTCTAAGAGGCGGCCCGCGATGCGCGAAAGTGTGTCCCGATTTTCGGACCCCCCAGCACTGATGTGGTCTCCCTTACCCATGTTGCAGCGACTGTGTTGTCGCATCGGGGACTGATACCGACGTGCAGACCGGCGATGAGACTGAGATGGGCGCCGAGACTAGCGGAGTTGGTCTAGAACCGAAAGCAAAGAGGCCACGGCGCCCAAACCAGCTCATGAGTACTAGACTGGTGGTCACGGAGATGGACGACGGTATTTTTGAGACAATAGCGCCCCAGGAAGCGCGATCGTGCTACGGCAATCAAATAGGTTGCATTATACGGACAACTGCCACGATCAACGATGGGAAACTATAGAAAATAGATAATATGAGGCCCTCCCTCCTAAAGAAGCTGCACCAGATATTCTTGTTCCCGGACCGTAATGAAAAGGATAATAAAGATCCAGATAAGGACCTGGCAATGAAGAAGATAAACAAACACGCCATGACCAAGTTTAGCGACGCGTTGGCCGCCTGGAAAACAAGGTTGAAACATCAGATCGTCGACAAAAAGGAACCATTGCTACCTCTTGAGCACGACGTTGGTTTTCCCCGAAGAGTGAGGGATGATGCAGCAAAGTAGCGTAAGTATTTCCCTCAGGTTTTGAGAACCAAGGTATCAATCCAATAGGAGACTATGCGCCAGTCCCTCATACCTGCATAAAATAAATAAATCCTCGCAACCAACGCGAATAGGGGTTGTCAATCCCTACACGGCCACTTACGAGAGTGAGATTTGATAGATATGATAAAGATAATTTTTTTAGTATTTTTGTGATAAAGATGCAAAGTAAAATAAAGGCAAAGTAAAAAAGCATAGGAAATAACTAAGTAGTAGGAGATTAATATGATAAAGATAGACCCGGGGGCCATAAATTTCACTAGTGGCTTCTCTCGAGAGCTTAAGTATTCTATGGTGGGTGAACAAATTACTATTGAGCAATTGATAGAATTGAGCATAGTTATGAGATTATCTAGGTAAGATCATGTATATAGGCATCACGTCCGAGACAAGTAGACCGACTCTTGCCTGCATCTACTACTATTACTCCACTCATCGACCGCTATCCAGCATGCGTCTAGAGTATTAAGTTAAATACAGATTAACGCCTTAAGTAAGATGACATGATGTAGAGGGATAGACTCACAAAATATGATGAAAACCCCATCTTGTTGTCCTCGATGGCAACAATACAATACGTGCCTTGCTGCCCCTACTGTCACTGGGAAAGGACACCGCAAGATTGAACCAAAGCTAAGCACTTCTCCCATTGCAAGAAAGATCAATCTAGTAGGTCAAACCAAACCGATAATTCGAAGAGACTTGCAAAGATAACCAATCATACATAAAAGAATTCAGAGAAGATTCAAATATTTCTCCACAAGAGAGGGGGAGAACATTGTATTGAGATCCAAAAAGAGAGAAGAAGGCATCTAGGTAATAACTATGGACCCGTAGGTCTGAGGTCAACTACTCACACTTCATCGGAGAGGCTATGGTGTTGATGTAGAAGCCCTCCATGATCGACGCCCCCTCCGGCGGAGCTCCGGAACAGGCGCCAAGATGGGATCTCTGAAGGAAATATGCCCTAGAGGCAATAATAAAGTTATTATTTATTTCCTTATAATCATGATAAATGTTTATTATTCATGCTAGAATTGTATTAACCGGAAACATAATACATGTGTGAATACATAGAGAAACAAAGTGTCACTACTATGCCTCTACTTGACTAGCTCGTTAATCAAAGATGGTTATGTTTCCTAACCATGAACAAAGAGTTGTTATTTGATTAACGGAATCACATCATTAAGAGAATGATTTGATTGACATGACCCATTCCATTAGCTTAGCACCCGATCGTTTAGTATGTTGCTATTGCTTTCTTCATGACTTATACATGTTCCTATAACTATGAGATAATGCAACTCCCATTTACCGGAGGAACACTTTGGGTACTACCAAACGTCACAACGTAACTGGGTGATTATAAAGGAGTACTACAGGTGTCTCCAAAGGTACATGTTGGGTTGGCGTATTTCGAGATTAGGTTTTGTCACTCCAATTGTCGGAGAGGTATCTCTGGGCCCTCTCGGTAATGCACATCACTTAAGCCTTGCAAGCATTGCAACTAAATGAGTCAGTTGCGGGATGATGTATTACAGAACGAGTAAAGAGACTTGCCGGTAACGAGATTGAACTAGGTATTGGAATACCGACGATCGAATCTCGGGCAAGTAACATACCGATGACAAAGGGAACAACGTATGTTGTTATGCGGTCTGACCGATAAAGATCTTTGTAGAATATGTAGGAGCCAATATGGGCATCCAGGTCCCACTATTGGTTATTTACTGGAGACGTGTCTCGGTCATGTCTACACTGTTCTCGAACCCGTAGGGTCCGCACGCTTAAGGTTACGATGATAGTTATATTATGAGTTTATGCATTTTGATGTACCAAAGGTTGTTCGGAGTCCCGGATGTGATCACGGACGTGACGAGGAGTCTCGAAATGGTCGAGACATAAAGATTGATATATTGGAAGCCTATGTTTGGACATCGGAAGTGTTCCGAGTGAAATCAGGATTTTACCGGAGTACCGGGAGGTTACCGGAACCCCCCGGGAGCCATATGGGCCTTCATGGGCCTTAGTGGAAAGGAGAAAGGGGCAGCCCAAGGTGGCCACGTGCCTCCCCCCTCCCCTAGTCCTATTAGGACTAGGAGAGGTGGCCGACCCCCCTCTCTCTCTTTCCCCCTCGGGGAATCCTAGTCCAACTAGGATTGGGGGGGGAGTCCTACTCCCGGTAGGAGTAGGACTCCTCCTGCGCCCTCCTCTTGGCTGGCTGGCCCCCTCCCCCTTGGCTCCTTTATATACTGAGGCAGAGGCACCCCAGAAACACACAAGTTGATTCACGTGATCTATTCCTTAGCCGTGTGCGGTGCCCCCAACCACCATAGTCCTCGATAATACTGTAGTGGAGTTTAGGCAAAGTCCTGCTGATGTGGTACATCAAGATCGTCACCACGCCGTCGTGCTGACGGAACTCTTCCCCGACACTTTGCTGGATCGGAGTCCGGGGATCGTCATCGAGCTGAACGTGTGCTCGAACTCGGAGGTGCCGTAGT